TCAACAAGGAACAGCTACCTCCTCAGAATAATCCAGTCGCGCGCACCGGTGCCCACCCCTTCAATCAATAAACAAGTGCAGCCAGCCCCACCAAAACACCAGACGCAGCGTCGAGAGGTCATTCACGAGCAACAAGAGAGGCACCCAAACTACCGCTTTGACAATGTCAGACTAGAGGGGGTTGAAGACAATGACACCGCGCGGGGAAAAAGGAATAGGATTGACGACTCTGAAGACGATGCGGTTGTCGGAGGAGCCACCGGTGTGAGAACTCCTTTGGGATGGGTTGGCAGTCCTTGAGGGGGAAATAACAATAATGATATTTCACTAGATAATATTTACTTTTACGGGTGGTTTGAAAGACCTGCCCCTCTATTTACTACACAAGAATTCTGACAACAATTTATTTTATTGTTGTGGCGTAACTTTATGACAGAGAAAACTTGATATGTAGTAGTCTCTATCAGACCTAGATCAGTATGTAATTCAATACAAGATGGTTGTACAACCTTTACACGGTGAATGTGGGTGTGAAAACAATCCAAGTGGAATATTTTTATAGGGTTTATGGTTTTTAAGGTGATTCTGGATAAGTAGTGAAACTGTTGGTTTTTGTTGTTGATGTTGAAGTTGGTGTTGGTGTTGGTGTTGGTGTTGGTGTTGTTGTTGTTGTTGTTGTTGTTGTTGTTACTGGTGTTGACCAGACTTGGATGATGATGACCACTGAGCTGGCTGGGGGGGGATGAACCGGCTGGGTGATGATGGTGTTGACCACTGAGCTAGCTGGGTACTGTGCTGGCTGGGTGATGATGGGGGGAATTGGTGAAGGAGAGGCCTCCTTATATATTCTTTTCTGAGTTATTTTTGCTGGTGGTGATGCAGTTGAGGTGATTTTGCTGGTGGTGACCTTGTGGGTTGCACTGCCTCCTGCAAAGAGTACATGCATTGAGCTAATTATGCTGTGGAAATAACTAAATATGGTACTACTTTATGTAATGATTGCATAACTGGTTGCACTGCCTGGTGGAGGTTTTTCTGTCCACATGCATTTATGCAAAGTCTGCGTAAATTCAATTAAGTAACTAAGTGGAGGCCTAATGGTTGCACATATGCATGCAAGAATTGCATAAATGGTCTGCACTACTGGTGGAGGCCTGCTGATGTAATAATTTATGTGTATGTACTTATATATATGTGGTAAAATACTATTAAATACTAATTACTGACTAGCTATGGTATGGCTTTAACCTTTATATTGGATTATCTTCTAAACTAATAGAGATAGAGGTATGGTTGTAGTGAGTGACTATGGGTAAAATTGTATGCAGATTCTGATTATGCAATAATATATTCATATATGTAAGTGGTTTTAGGTTGTAAGGTAGGGGTTTTGGCAGTTTTGTTGCGCACAACAGCCTGGACCACCACACCGGGAAGTCCACAAGAACTAGGATTGACGACTCTGAAGGTGACGACTCTGAACAAGACATTGACGCAGAAGGTTCTACAGATGAAGAATATGTTGCAAAGGAACCAACTTGCCGGGTTGCGGTCATTCTGGACCATGGAATTGGTCGCCCAGCCCCCTTCAGACAAGGCCCACAGGCTGACCCCAGCCCACATGTTCATCCGTTGTTGGACAATTTTGCTTCGTGGGATTTGTTGAGCAAGATGAACATTCCTCGGAAACCACTGCAGGGGGGGAGCAGGCAGCCTGCCAGTGGGCCAAGTAGAAGGGGGGCAGGTGGTGAAGCACCTCGTGGGACTCAGTCGGCACGTGCTCCTTGTAAGTGCTTCTAAATGGATGATTCATCTGTTTTCATGTCCTGATTTTGGTGTGTATGGTTCCGTAGCTGTGGAACTCTTTGTCCCTGGTTTAGTTTTGCCATCACAGGAGGCCAATCGATGGAACAATGAGCTTTCCGGTGGAATCAAATGGACACACCAATCGGCTCAATCCTCCCTTTCAAATATCAAGTATATACTCGAGCATTTGCCTCCCCTGATTTCTGCACACGACGCAATCCCTAAAGAATGGAGTCAGCGGATTTGGATGGACATAGATCGGACATCAAAGGCTTGTGAAACAGGTATGTGAAATTCATGTGGCAGGGGGTTTGTGGGGATTCATAATGAATGTCTGTGACTTTTTTCTTCAGAGGATATACTCAAGACTGTGGGGAATTTGTCTCTAATAATGTCTGACATGGTTGATATGGAACAAATCAAAACTTTCCAACTGACGGAAAGGTTAACCGGCAATCACACGCTACTACCGCACTTGGCCAGCTTTTTTGCCCCTGGGAGATCGGAATATATTCGACTGCGAGCGGCATTACAACAGACTTGGGCTATGCAAAAGATGACACAGATGAAAGACACTTGGATCCCTCAGGCCTTCGACAATAGTAACAACGTGTATACGGCCTAGGGTTCCGACCCGGTGCCCCGGAGCCGGATTCTGTGCATCCCGCACCCTGACCCCGTGGATATCCGGCACCGAGCCGGGTTTCTCCGGATCTCTAGCGTGAATTTTTTTATGCTTTTTTTTGCCATACTGTTGTGAAAAAAAGGGGTTTAGGGCGGGAAGGTTGGAGCTGTGGTGCAGCAGCTGGGCCCCCGAGCGGGTTTGATGCGGGTAATCCCCGCAAATCCCCGACTTCTGGGGGTTTCAAGGATCCGACCGGATGCCGGATCTCTCTGGGTCGATCCCGAGCCCTGATCCGGTTTGCGGGTTTTCCGGATCTTGCCGGATCTGCGGGGTCCGGATCGGAACCCTAATACGGCCTACACCCATCTCTGCAACGCGTACGAGAACATGGGTGGGAAGTTGGGCGACAACTCAGCATCGGAACCTGGCGTGATGTCGTTAATCCAGTATTTCATAGGTTCTCTGGCCGGTTTGGCCTACCTTTCTGGTGGCTGCATTGCAAAACCCAAGCAGACAAAAATTAATGTGTACCACACCAAGCACCACCTTCAACATGTCCAGATGCTTGTGAATCTCATGATTTTTGGTCCAACTGCAGCCTTCACTGCTTATCGCACGGGCCCTCACGTTACTCTTTCGAATGCTCTTTCTTTGTTGGAGGTTGGTGCTAGTCTGCTCAAACAAAAAGTCAATCACGGAATCACGGCCCCGATGCCTCACACAATTTTGGACAACCTTTGGCTTTATTTCTTGAAATTTCTCATCAAGATGGGTTTCACAAATCTCAACAACAAAGGGGTCGCACAGGTGAATTGGAAAGACGTGCGCCGGCGTTCTACCATGAGTTTGCAACACATGTTTGCACAAGACATAGAAATTGCTTTGGCTGAGAAGTGTTTTGGAGTTGATTAATTGCATTGAAAAATGCCTTGACTTTGGTTCCTGATATGTGTTGTGTACTTGTTTCCTCTCTGATATAAATGATATTATATATGATCAAAACATAGTTACAAGGAGCTTTGTGTGGAATGATGAGCTTCTGTGAACACGTTTTATTTCCCTTGGTTTTAACACATGATTAGTCTCCTGGTTTCCCTTTCTATTTGGATAATATGATTGCTCAAATGAGTGTGCACTGAATTGTACTACAATTGACATACAATTGTGGTTTTGATGGGGGCACAATCAGTAGTAGGGATACAACTCACGATGAGGCCCTATCAAGGAATGGCTTTCTGTGTTTCTCTCATTGGGGACCAAATGAGCGGAGAGTTGAGACTCCGGGCAATGTGGATAATGACTTGCTTGTCTATCTGTGGGGATGAGTTATTCACAATAGATTTCATAAAATATTCATATAATGAGATATGAAGCATTCATTGCTGAATAAGCTGGTTGTATAGGTCTATATTAGGTTGAATAGCAGTCAACCATTGAGCCATGGACACATTTTCCAGGCGCGTGCGCAATTGGAATGACAGAGGGGGGATAGGGATGAGACCGCTCTTGGGGATAACTAACTCCCAATGGTTGCCCCGTGTGAAGGCTATTAGTATGGGCCCCATTGGTTTAGGGTCTGGGTCTTTCGAGCTTGGTAAGTTAGTGATACACCCAATGTTTACCTCGGCTGAGAGGAAGACAATGGGCCTGTTGTATGCGTTTGCCAGCACGGGTCCCATGTCCAGGCGTTCCATCCACTTGGAATATGGGACTGATGTCGAGTTGGGATCGATGACAAGGGATTCACGGGCCCTCTTGTATTCGTTTTTGCTCCCAAACCTCCTTGTCCAATGCGCTTTGTTGTTGTTGAGCTTGTTGATCAGATCCTGGCGGACCTGATACCACTCGTTGGTCATTGCGTACAAGCTCTCAGGCTTCTCAAGTGCCATATGGCGCGCCACGCAAGAGTAACCACAGTTGCCATCGCCAGGTGGATCATATGTCGATTGGACATGTTTTTGCACCCAGGCAGGGAGCTCATTATGGGCCGCCTCCTTCAATTGATGTAGAATAATTGGATGGTCAGTGAATCTGCTGCACTCAGAAGAGGGGAGAGTGGAACCAGGCAATCTGCCTTACCATTGCTTTTGGTGCAGGCACCAGGGGTGCTTGAGGGGGTGGCCCATGGTCGGTCACAATTCCTTGGGCTGCCTGTGGGTTCAATAAGCATCTGATCAGTCAGTGTCATAGGGGCCCTTCCGGTCTGGTAGCTCACCTGGGGTCCCACATCGTTTAGGGATCCTGTCTCCCCATTGGCGGCTGTGCCATTATCACCACCATTCTCTGGTGTCACCTCGGTAGGTGGTGGCAACCATATCTTCTTGGGCCTGATGCGTTTGGGTTTGGTGGGGATTGCCTTACATGCCTACAAATTTACACAATCTCAGCTTGCTGTGGGTGGGTAATTCATATCAACAGTGACTCACATTGGTTGTCTCCTCCCCCAAGCATGTACCTTCTTCAGGCCACGTGCGGAACTGGGGTCCATGCCCCCGGGTGATTGGGGCGGGCGGTCTGCGAACTTGTGCCACGGGGGCCGCGGGCGGGGCCATCACGGTGTCATGACCTGGGCCTACCTGAGGGGACAACTGGATATGGCATGGTGAAGATGTCAACGACTTCATCTTGTTTTGCACTGATGCTTTTTCAAGGCCACTTACAGGTGACGGTATTGGTTGTTCTTCGGGGTTCGACTGTGTGTCAGCTACCGTATCGAAGTGCTTTGGGGCATTCACATGCTCTGATTTTGCAAGCTAGACACATTGAGACACATGAGCCTTCTAGTTGGTGATATGTTTTCCATGTGAGTGGAAATGGAATTGCTTACCTCAGCAAACACTTCTTCAAGACCTGATGGCAATTCAGCATCCTCAGGGCTATCGGGAACTCCCCCTGCGGGTGGTGAATCCGTTGGTGTGCCTGCTCTTGAGCACCCATGCACATCTGGCGAACCCGCTGCGGTCAGAGGCCTGGAGGTGCATTCCCCGTCTGACCCACCTGAGCTTTCTTTATCAGCATTCTCAGAATCATCTGCAGAGCTGGATGAGTCCCCTGAATTGCTAGACTCCGCCAAGTTGACCTTCTTTCTTGCTTGGGTAGATCGTAAAGGCAGCTTCCTCTTCTTCGTGAGCTGATCAGGTTCATCACCAATTTCATCACAGGATGTTGCATCTGATGACGAATTATTTGACTTTGTCGTAGCCTTTGGCTTGGCCTTAATTTTCACCTTCTTAGCCCTTGCCGCCTTTTTCTTTGCCTGAGCCTCGTTAACTTGGGCCTCCACCACCTCGGCATGGATTGCGTCCCGTTCGGCTGCTTGCACTTAACCTCGTTTCCGCTTTTTCTTGGCTCCCTTGCGGTTGTTTTGTATGATGGGTGCCTCACCCAGGGGCACAACAACTGTGTTAGTCCGCACCTGGCGCAGCTTGGCCATAAGACCAGGGAGATCTTGAGGCCTCACGTCGGCCAGAATCTCCTCTTTCATGGCTGCATAGTCCTCGTCAAAGTCATAAGGAGGCTCCGCATTCTGGGCCAGGCAGGGAGAATCGTCAGAACCCAAGACGACAGCAATCAGGCGTTTGCAAATGATCACTCACCGGATCATCAGGGGTATAATATAATTTCCACTGATCATGAATATTTGTTGTTTCAACAACACCACTTTCGTCTAAGATATCGGCCAACATGTGCCAGCAAGGGATACCCATCGTGGCCCACAAGCTACCAGTGCACTCGTCATGATCCAACCCCTTTTCCGCTGAGTCCCGATTCTTCAAGTACAGGTCCCGCTGCCGCTCAAGCATGACAAGTGCATGAATTGAGACCTTAGTGTTAAGTGGACGGAAGGTTTCCGGCAGACCAGATTTCCCCTTCTGCTTCTCGTTTGATATCTGTTTCACAACACTTGTGACCTGGTAGTCCACTGTATCAGCAATTTTCTCGAACACAGTCGCCAAGTCCGTCTTGTGGGAGGTCACGTGTTTCTTCAGCCAACTGTGCGCAGACTCCCCTCGAGCGGTTGTGTGATTGCCTAAATGCGGGGTCTGCCCTATCCAAGGTCTCATGAACAACTCCCGATCAGGAATGATGTTCTTGATCAGGTAATCCAGGACCGAGGCGCGATCGGCTAGATACATTTGAAGCTTGCCCCAGGCGTCGTCACAACGGTGGGCCAGCTACGCTAACCGTAGCGTTAGCGTAGCGTAGTGTAGCGAAAAATCGCTACAATGTAGCGTAGCGTTAGCGCGTTTTTCAATTTCTGCGCTAACGCTACGCGGAGGGGGGAAAAATTTGCGCTAACGTTTAGCGTAGCGTTAGCGCAATTCCCCCCATGTGCGCTAACGCTACGCGCACAGGGCGCAAAAAACCGCCCGCTGCGCTGCGCTACAGCCATTTTTAGCGGTTTTTAGGCGTTTTTTGCCGCTAAAAACGCTGTAGCGTAGCGTAACGCAGCGTAGCGGCGCCAGCGGTGCGCTAACACTACACCAAAATTTGGCTAGTGTTAGCGCCGCTACAAGTTAGCGTAGCGCAGCGGCAGTAGCGGCGCGCTAACACTACACGAAAAAAAAAGAAAAATGGCGCCGCTACGCTAACGCTACATGGGCCTGTAGCGTAGTGTAGCGTAGCGGCCCACCGCTGGTCGTCATAAGCGTCCTCATCCTTTGAATAAATTACTGAGTTCCACTTCTTCTTGAACACCTCATATTCCGCAGGATCAGCTGCAAACGTGGGGTAACAAGCCGCACAGATGTTTTGATCTATGTGCCACAAGCAGACATTGTTCACGGCCTCAGGGAAGTGCACCGCAATTGCGTTTCGTAAGGCCTTCTCGCGATCAGTTACAATCACCTTGGGTGATCTTTTGGGTGCCCACACGTCCCTGTGAAATCCCACAATTGAACCACCATCAATCGGTCCGTCTGATCTGAGAACTGGAGCCAATGAGAAACCTAATCAACTCACTTCAACTTCTTCAACACCCATGAATATGCTACCTCGGA